GGAAGGGAAGAGGGGCTGCCGGGATTAGAACCGGCGCCCATATGGGATCCCGGGCGTGCTAGGCGAGGACCTTTAACCACTTGCGCCACCGCGCCGGGCCCAAAAAGATTAATTTTTCTTTGAAAGGCAGCTACAGAGAGAGAGACAGACAGAGAGAAGGAGATACAAAGAGATCTTGTAACCCTGGCTGATTCCCCAAACGGTCATAATGGCCACAGCTGAACTGATCTGAACTGATCTTCCTAAGATTCAGGGCCAAAAGACCTTGGGCCATCCCCCGCTGCTTTCTCAGGCTAATCAGCAGAGCACTGGTGAGAAGTGAAGCAACCGGGTCACAGACTGGCACTCATAAGGGATACTGGTGCTTGTAAACAGAGTTAGACTGCAACACCACAGTGCCAGCCCCTAAAGATTTATTTTTTAAATCTCTATTTGAAAGGCATATTTACAGAGAGAAGGAGAGAGAAAGAGGGAGATCTTGCATCTGACAATTCACTCCCTAAATGGCAACAAAGGCAGGAGCTGAGGTAATCCAGTGCCAGGAGCTTATTCTGGGTCTCACATATGGTGCAGGGAGCTATGTCTCAAGGACTTGGATCATCTGCTGCTGTCTCCCAAGGTCATAAGGGGAGCTGGATATGAAGTGGAGCATCCAGGACTTGAAATGGTGCCCATATGGGATATCGGTGCTGGAGACGAAAGCTTAGCCTACTACGCCCCAGCACCAACAGTAGGAAATTCTGAAGAAGCAATCTTTCATGTCTATTTGGCTAAAAGGTCATCGTCAATACAATTTTTTTTATAAAGATTTATTTTTATTATTTTTTTTAATTGGAAAGATGGATATACAGAGAGGAGAGACAGAGAGGAAGATCTTTCATCTGATGATTCACTCCCCAACTGAGCGCAATGGCCGATGCTGTGCCGATCCGAAGCCAGGACCCTCTTCTAGGTCTCCCACGCGGGTGCAGGGTCCCAAAGCTTTGGACCGTCCTCGACTGCTTCCCCGGCCACAGGCAGGGAACTGGAAGGGAAGCGGGGCTGCCGGGATAGAACCGGCGCCCATATGGGATCCCGGGCGTGCAAGGCGAGGACCTTAACTACTTGCGCCACCGCGCCGGGCCCACAATTTTATATGCACTGAGCTCTGGTTGTAACTCATCTTTTACTGACCTACACTCAATGTCTACTAGGGAGGGGTTCATAAGACATCATTTATGCATTTTTAAGTGTGGATTTATTAAGCTGTCCCCCGTCCCCAGATGGACAAATGGGATATGTACGCAACTTTTTGAAGTGTGTATTTCAGGGACAACTGCATTATGTAAGTGAGCACCCCTTCTCTGGAAGCTGGATGGAGACTGATACAGTATCATTGACATTTCTATTTAAACAAAGACTGAGGTTGGGGCGGAAAGGCAGGTGTATAAGTCTCTTCATCTACTAATCTGTCACCAAATGAGACAGAACCCCAAAAGACACAGCTTAGTGGTTGATCTCATTAAGCACCCACGATCTAAAAACAGTCCTGCCTGGGTGTGGTAAGTGTATCAGGGTTGTCTGTGTACTAATCAGTGACTTTCAGTTTGTGAAGTAAGGCAGCAGCAGAGCCTCTGTCTTCTAAAACTCGACAGACTGGGTGCGGGTTGATGGAAGTTAATTTGGTGGCAAGTCAGATTTTGTTGCATTTCAGGGAATGATGTACATCTACTTTAAGTGCTTCTGCACGGGACTTGGCTGCTGGGAGTGGAGATATGGAAATACTCATTTTGGTTTCTTTATGCTAAACAGCAAAACTGAAATGCCAGACTGAGTTAGGAATCTGTATAAAATTAACTTAATCTAGCATTCTGATATCAGCAAACTCAGTTCCACAAAGAAATGAGAAGGTAAGGAGATAAGATTACATGGTGCTAAGGATATGCTGTATTATATCTAATTACAAAGTATCAGCTCTTTTTTAAAAAAAGACTTATTTATTTTTATTGGAAAGGCAGATACACAGAGAGGAGGAGAGACAGAGAGGAAGATCTTACACCCAATGGTTCACTCCCTAAGTGAGTGCAACAGCCAGTGCTGCGCTGATCTGAAGTCAGGAGCCAGGAGCTTTTCAGGTCTCCCACACAGGTGCAGGGTCCCAAGGCCTTGGGCCGTCCTTGACTGCTTTCCCAGGCCACAAGCAGGGAGCTGGATGGGAAGTGGAGCTGCCAGGATTAGAACCGGCACCCATATGGGATCCTGGCGCATTCAAGGCGAGGACTTTAGCCACCAGGCCACACCGCTGGGCCCCAAAGTATCAGCTCTTATCATTAGTAGATATTCCAAAAGAACAAATGACAAAACCTCAACCAGGCACAAGAGTTAGGTTCCTTTTTGGTGGAAATCAGTCTATCAATTTAGAGACAGCAATGACACACACAGAAGGGAGAGTAAAAAGAATAAATAAACCTGGGGCTGGACAAACAGAATAATTCATCTTGTAGTGCCAGCATCCCTTATGGACTCTGGTTCACATTTTGATTGCTTCACTTCCAACCCAGCTCCCTGCTTATGGCCTGGGAAAGTGGTGGAGTATGGTCCAGGTCTAGGGGATCCTGCACCCATGTGGGAGACCTGAAGGAAGCTCTTGGCTACTGGCTTCAGATCAGCTCAGCTCTGGCACTGCGGCCATTTGAGGGATGAACAGGTAGATGGGAAACTTCCTCTCTATCTCTCCTATTCCCTGTGAATCTGTCTTTCAAGTAAATCTTTTAAAAAAACAGAACAGATAAGCCCTTTTTCCAAAATGCACAATAAAAAAATCTTGTGAACTTAAGGACACACATCTTAGAGACCAGAAGAACTGACCACCACACTCCATTTCATAATTTCTATTACTGTTAGAGCTCTGGTTTTGTTTAAGAACAGTCAGAGTTGCCAGGGTAGAGTCAGGCAGCATCTCTGGAGAACTATTAGAGGGGGTACAATTGATTTAAAAATGTAGTCAAAACCTTATATATTAGTGTCTGATTTTTGTAAACAGTTTGAAGTAAGAGGTTACAGAGAAAAACTGTTTCACTGAAGCATATGACATGGCTGATGTCCAGTCAACACCAGACATGCATTATCAACTAACAGGAAGCCTGCACTAGCACTTCATTTTCAACCTAATTATTTTTGGTGTCTGCATTAGTAGGCAGAGTCTGGCAGAAATTCCTCTAATAACTGGCCTGGTGGTGGGAACCTAAGGAAACCTGTCTTGACAGGCTTAACACTACTTTATCAGCCCAAGAAGCAAAAGTTTGGTCAAAATGAACAACCAACCAGGAAACAAGGAGCTTTACAAAGGACTAGTAGATCAAAGGGAGTGCAGAGAGAAATAATAAAACAAAAATAAACAGATAAATAAATGAAGAGGGAAGGGAAGCAGGTAGGTAGGCAGATATGTACACACACACACACACACACAGAAGGCATTGCATGTGGAAGACACAACACTGATCTGAACTCTAGATACCAATGTAATAAAGCAATCGATATAACTTTTCTAAGCTTCAGTCTCCTCGTGGCATTCCACATTGTGAGCCTAGAATTAAATTAAGTACACAATTCCTCAGCTATGCTAACTGGAAGAAAATAAATTTTAAATTTTGCTATGGCCTTACCAATTCAAATGCTGATAATGGGGCAAGTTCACAGATCATGGTGCTTTTAAACACTGGTGTTCTCAAAAATCATCTGGCATGTTTATTAAGACCCCAATGCAGGAGTTTTCAAGCAAGAGGTCTTTCATGGGACTGCAGTGTTTATATTTCTAACAAGTTCCTAAATGAGGCTATGGTCTCTGGTTGAGACCACATTTGAACAGTGTCCAAGAGAAAGGTCAACAAGGGCAAGTGAACATGGTTACATGGGAGGAAAAATCACAAGAAATTCTCTTGTTTCCAGTGGTTGGGAATTATCAGTAATATGACCAACAAATAAATGCTGAAATATACTGTTTACATTGACATGTTCATGCAAAACTGGAATTACAAACTGGGGATTCTATTTAGGATCTTGAACATCACAGAATAGTTATATAATTTGATTTTAAAAAATGCAATCCTTGCTAACATTAAAAAAAGAGCTATGTATAGTGAATTTCCTTACAGAACGAAGTATTTCACAGGTGAATTTTGCAGAGAATGAACAGAAATTTAAATATTCTTTTATTTTAGTCATTTTAGAAAAAATCTTTCTGAAAAGAAAATGCGGGCTTTCCTTTATCACCCAGTATTATGGTAAGCAACACAACAGTCAGCTCTGTAAGGAATAAATTCTGGGGGGTCAACCAAAACTACACAAAACCACTCATTCTGACTGAGCTTGTGCAGCCATGTATAGGCTTGTTACTCTGCTCTCCTTCCAGGGTTATTAGCTGTTGCTTCTCAGCATACTGTCCTCTGAGCCACATAATGCACTGATATGCTTTTCCATCTGGCTCTAATAGTGACTCCATAGCAAGCAATATAATTGCAGACTTTGAGATATCGTTTTTTTGAAATGACATTTTTGTCTGTGTATTTAATCCCAGGTTGTTCACTGGATGGTTGGCTTGCCGTTGGTCACAGGCAAATGAGGTACTGCCAGACTTCATTGTATTGTTTTGATAATGTATGCTGTATCAAAGACACATTAGGGCAATTAGGATATCTAGCAAAGAAACTATAGCTCTGTTCATTTACAGGTAATATAACTCAGGTCATATCAGGCTCTTCTTTCCCAAACCCTAAAAACCTATCAACCTGAGCATACTATGTGAATGCTCTTAACATTTCACTGTCCTATGTGCAAGCTATTATAAAGTAGGGAGCCTTATGGAGTAACAGAACACAAAACAGGTACAGGTCAACAAGGAATGTATGGTGAACCTCATCAGATAAGGAGAGAACTCTGCTGTAAAGTGCTCAAAAGGGGATTGCTGATGCTTTTATCTTAGCATCATCGCTCAAAGTCATACAATGATCACATTTACTGACCTGGGGAATGCTGGGAAGTTGCAAGTGAGGTCATGGAATTTGAGAGATTAAGGTTGGCAGTGATACTGAGCTGGCTCTGCAGTGCAGGAGGGTAAGGAGATGTGGGTGTCAGGAGGGACTCCTCACTGGCTTCTTCATCAATTCCAGGCAAGTACGTGTCAATCAAGGCATCAAGAAACTTAACAATAAGCTCAGCATAGTCTGGGATTTGTGTTTGCTGTAAGAGAAAACAGGAAAATATTTTAGCTCCTCTTTTGTTTCACCCCCATCTCCTTGGTAACTTCCCTCTAGAGCCCAAACATGAGGGTTTTCTTTTGAGGGTACTTCTCTAGTTTTCCTTTCTTCTTTGTGTTACAAGAGCATAAAATGGCGAGGGGGCGGGGAGTATAATGCTTATAAAATTCCATTTTATAGGGACTTACAGTTGGAGTTTTTATTCAGCTTACACTTAAAGCTTTCAGATAAACCTGTAATTTCCGAAAGCCTTGCACAGACAGATTGAATTGAATAGTGAGACAATACAACCATCAACAATGATGTCAAGCCAATTTTCCAAAACAAAGAATCATCATCAGAGCATCATCATTCCAGCTGCCAATGCACCCTACTGCACTGTGAAGGGCTCAGGGGGTACCTGGCACTCTAGCTACAAAAACTCCTGCATGATACACTTATTTCCACAATTTCGGTCTTGCTGATTTTTAGTGACAATCTGTGCATATGAAGAGATATTTAACAACAGCCAAATGAAATAAACTGACCAATGCTTTAAATTTCAACAAGGTTTAGATAATTAATACTTATTTATTACTTCTGTACCTGGAATACTACACTAGGAACTGTAGCAATAAGAAACAGATAACCTGCCATCAAGGAACTTTCATCAATTTGGAGAGAGACCATGTAAAATAATACAGTCATTTGGCACAGTATCAACTAAAGCCAATCAACCATAGAACAAAATGAACAGGAGCAAAGATGGTTTATCCAGAGAGAAATGAATCTCATCCAACAGGACAGAAGGGAAAATGCGTCCATGAAATACTTTTGACCATAGATAATGCTCCTTGGTAACCACCAGGTCCTTAAGTGCGTCTATTAAGATGATCAAACATACAAGAACTGATGACAGAAAAGTTTTAGAAATTCATTATGCCTTTTGAAAAGTCACACATAAAATGAGCTACTGATTTTGTGAAAGCTTATATTTATGTATAGAACCATATTAAAGGTGCTATCTCTTAGAAAAAAATTGAAACCCTTTTATAAAAATAACATGTTTGTTGTTGTTGATTATTGTGGCTTTAGTACATTGTGTATTCTTAAATCAGACACATTAATGTGGCTAAGAACTTTGGTTTGGCCAAAAGTTATGAGAAAAAACTATTTTCTTACCTTTGAAAAGGGTCCTGCAAACCGCCATAAGCCATTGAAACCAAAACCTGCAACAAATGAAACATTTTCCTTGTAATAAGCAAGACATCTTTTAATGGCAACAGACACTAAATAAGTTGTATGTTGATACACACATACTAAAACATTTTAGATTGGGTGTTAAAGCAGATTAAAACTTAACAGTTAGTACGAAGTCATACATTAACTTAAAAAAATGATCAATCTGTTATTATACTGAATATACAGTCAGAAGAGCCAGACAATGGTCTATACATAGAGAAATAGAACCAAGTCCCTCCCCCCTAAAGAGCAATTCTGCAGTCACTGCAGTTACAACAGTGTGCCCATCAGCCAGCTCCTCAGCCACACTTCTCCTGGCATGTGTATTTACTTTGCAGGTAAGATGTTTGATATTGTGGAGGGGATTCTTCATGATATACCACACTTTGCACAATTCCATGGATGGGATTTAACAAATTTGGATCTTGGCACAATGACAACAGGGTGTTGATCTTGGAGTCCAGCAAATTGTGTCTAAAAAATAAATCAACAAAGGAACATTTCAGAAGGAAATGAAATGAAAATCTATATTAGCAAACATAATGTACAATCCCGGGAACAATGTGGCAAAATTGAAGGGAGTTAAGTGCTTTTTACTCCCTGGGACTTTTCTATGTCTTTCAAATTACCTATAATGAACACAGATGTGTATGCTATTCTTGGTTTGTCTCTTGCTTTTTAGTCATCAGGGAAAATATGGTAAGAATGAACTGCAAGGAGTGCCTAACTGTAGATGGTGAATATTTGTTCAGGATTAGCTGGGCTCCTGTCTGTGCCTTGGCATGCTTTTGGACCATCTCTTTCTGCTGTTGACACACATCTAGGCACTTAAAACTGAAATTTGAAAACAATCAGTGCTTACTCTCAAATGGCACAAGGAAAAAAGAACATTTAGGAGGGAGTGAATTATACCTGTATGATACAACTGAAATAGGAAGGAATTAACTATTTCTAACCCAGCTATGTTCCTAGAATAAAAATAACTGAAATCCAACTTAAAAATTCTAATATGAAATTAATCTCAAAAAGGAAACCATTTTACCAGATAGAAGGTTCTGATCAGAAACAAAATTTCCACATTTCTTTGAGCTACTTAAATTTGAACAGTTTAGTTATTATTTTAGTCCTAATAAAATTTACCTTCCAAACAAGATGTTAAATTCTTTCCTTTTTTGTTCAGCTGTGTTTAAAAGTTAAAAAACTCTAAAACCCAAACAGGCATCCCGAGTGAAACACAGCAAAGCCACTGGTTTGCTTCTGTGAAGACAGTAAACACTGCACTTCCAGATGCACCATTTTTGAGGCCAGTATAATGGGGTAAGCCAGCCCCTATGAAGCCAGTATCCCCTATGGGCAGCTCAAACCCAGATGTTCTATTTCTGATTCTGTTCCCCACTAAGGCACCTAGGAAAGCAGGGGACAATGGCCAAGTGACTGGGCCCCTGCACCCACGAGGGAGACCTGGGAGAAGCTCCTGGCTCCTGGCTTCTGGTGGTCCCACTCCAGCCCCATTTGGGGAATGAATCAGTGAACGAAGATTCTTCCTCTCCCTCTCTATGACACTCTTTCAAAAAAACCACTTAAAGCAAATCAACAAGATAAATGTTTTCTCTAACTACTCTTAGTAGTTAGTTTTCCCAAACTACTCTTAGCTAACAATAAACCCACTCTCTAGGCTTAGAGTCATCATCATGTTATTTTACTTCTCCCTCTTTGCAACTAATGAACATTAGCGGATATTAATTCCTAACCCTAAATAAAATGTAACTTAAATACAGGTACAAAGAGCAATTAAAAATAACAGGAAATACTTACACAACAGGGAAAACTTTGGGGAACACCACACTGGCCTCTGCTAAGTATGCATAAAGGATGCGTTGATCAAATTCATCTGTGGTATATTTTACCAGTGTAGCCTGCCAAAACACACAAAAGTAAATAAGTAACATTTTTGCTCTGCAGCTGAAATGCTATATTTTGGTAAGAAGCAGAAGATACCTTGCATTAATGCTTTTTAATATTTAAGGGCCTGCTAAGAGCAGATTGGAATAAAAACTTGAGCAGGGAACAAAACAAAACAAGGTTAAACAAGGGGAGTCCCTTACCAGAACAGTGAGAAGAAGTGCTTGTATCTTCGGATCGGTCAGGACTTCTTCATCCAGGAGTGCGTTTGATTCAGACATGGAAACCTTACACAAGTGTGGATGCTGCTGTGCTGAGATCCTCTGAGTTTCTGCAGGAAGAGGCGGATTAACAGGACCAGCTGTGTTAACAGGTACTGGACAACAATTAACACATTTCAATGGTGCTTCTGAAACTCAACAGCTTCTTAATAGATGCTTTGTCAAAACAGGCAGCTTTACTGTTCACCCATTCAAATATTTTAGGTGGCTACTGATAATTCTGTAGATATATACATACATGTAATTATACATATATAATTGGTTTTCACATGGGTTTCAGAATAACTCTCACTTTAAGGACTGCTGCCAAGCTTATATTTTGAAAAAGAAACAAGGTTTCTATAGTCCATCATAAAGGGAGTAAAAAATGAAATGACTGTGAAGTCGATGAACTCTTGCACTGTGTTTCAGGGATGCAGATCAGTTATTAACTTTGTGTCTCACCCATTTCATAATCAGTTTCTGCTACTCTCCTCATTTTGGGGGGTGTTGTGATCCCTGATTCCATTTCTTGCCTTTTAGGAGCCTTTGTGTCTGATATCAAATGATCAAAACTTTTCCTTGTTCCTATAAACAAAAATTACAGAATATGGGAATGCGTTAACCACAGTGTGTAGGGAACATACTAAAAGGAACAGGCTTTGACATAAACCATGCAGGCTTCCCCCATGGGACCCAAGGAACGCTCAGACATCCCCTGGAGCACTTTCATTCGCAGGCTTCCCAACAGGTTTTCCCCAGCTTTCTACTCCTGGATGGGTTGTATATCTACTGGTTCAAAATAAACTGATCAATAATTAATAATCACCACACTGTAGGTGAGATTCCTCTGACTAATGGTAACACACAGGGACATACACTGCTCAGAAGTAAAGATCAACTAAATCTGAACAGCTTTTCCAGTTTAAGACATTCTGCTGATAGGCCTGGTATGGTAGCCTAGTGGCTGAAGTGCTCGCCTTGCAAGCACCGGTATCCCAAATGGATGTTGGTCCAAGTCCTGGCAACCTGGCTTCCTATCCAGATCCGAGCCTGTGGCCTGGGAAAGCAGTCGAGGATGGCACAAGGCCTTGGCACCCTGCACCCACGTGGGAGACCCAGAAGAGCTCCTGCTTCAGAGTGGCTCAGCTCTGGCCCTTGTGGCCACTTGGGGAGTGAATCAACACAGACGATTTTCCTCTCTGTCTCTCCTCCTCTCTGTATATCTGACTTTCCGATAAAAATAAATAAATCTTTAAAAAAAATTCTGCTGGTGTTGAGAATTATTGATTATTATAGAAGCATTTGGAAACTTAGGCAAAACTCAGTTTGATTAGTTTTTCAAGAGATGTGCTCACCTAAAACTATTATGGAATGGATACACAGGTGCACCTCAAGCAAGCAGGGCTTTCTCTTACATGGTTCTGAGCTGCTCTTATCAGGTATTACACGAATACAGAACACTTCTATTTTAAATGGAAGTACTGACATTGTATCATTTGAAACCTACACATTGCTGTTCTTTATATTCAGATTTCTCTTATTCATCTGAGGATTTTTTTTTCTTAAAAACTCTGGTAGAACTGGTATTGTGCATATCTGGTAAAGCCACTACCTGCAATGATGGTGTACCATATGGGTGCTGGTTTGAGATCCAGCTTCCTGCTAATGTGCCTGGGGAAGCAACAGAGGACATCCCAAACGCTTGAAGCTCCTGAACCCACACAGGGACCCAGAAGTTCCTAGCTCTCAGCCTTGGACAGGCTCAGCTGTGGGGAGCCGGGTGCTAAAGCCATTCCTGGGAGTGGGAGGGGCCGTTGCAAGATGGTGGCTGTCCCGGAGCCAGGAGGCGGAGCTGGTCTTGCCAGCAGGTAAACAGGAAGTCACAGGGATAGGCCCCCCCCCCCCCCCCCGCGATTACTGGCCTATCATGTAGCGCCAAGAGGACCCACAGGGAGAAATGATTGGTGGAGATGATGTAAAAGTAGCCAGTAAAAGCTAGACGACAACGGATGGAAAATGACAGACGGACGACTGCGACAGATGACAGACAGACAGACAGACAAATAGACGATGATGGATGAGAAAGACTGGGGTCGGGAAGAAGGGTGGCAGAAAGAGGCCGGCCAAAGAAGCGGGGAGGAAAGCTTAGATCAATGGGGACAGGAGCAGAGGAGAGAAGGATTTAAATGCAGCCGCTTTTGGCAGTGAGGGGTCCGGTTCCAGCTTTTCCCGGACCCTCAAGAGCGTGTCTGGTTATTTTTATTGTCGCGGTGGCAGCAGCAGCGACACTCATGTTGCGATCCAGCTCCAGATGCTGCGGTCATTTGAGGGATGAAACAGTGAATGGAAGATCTCTGTCTCTCCCTCACTCTCTCTGCAACTCTGCCTTTCAAGTAAATAAATAAATCTTAAAAAGAATAACAACACTCCAATCAACCCACCAAAGCACAACTCTGGAGGGGCCTTGCCATGGCCTAAGCTCCTGCCTGTGGTGCTGGCATAGCATATGATCCTACTGTTCTGCTTCCAATTTGGCTCGATGCTTGTGGCTTGGGAAAAGAGTGGAGTATGTCTTAAGTCCCTGGCCTCTGCCTAAATGGGAGACCTAGAAGAAGCTCCTGGCTCCTGGTTTCAGATCAGCTCAGCTCCAGCTGTTGTAGCCATTTGGAGAGTGAGCCAGAAGATGGAAGATCGATCTTTCTCTTTCTGTAAATCTGCCTTTACAATAAAAATAAATCTTTTTTTTTAAAAAAAAAACCATTAATTAATTAAGTTGAAAGGCAAATGTGTAGTATCAGAGGACTGAGAGACAGAAATAGAGTGTGAGAGAAATAGAATGTTCTGTCAGCTGAGTCACTCTGCAATGGCTGTGACAGCTGGGGCTGGGTCAGAACAAAGCTGGGTACCAGGAAGCCCATCTGGGTCTCCCATATGAGTGGCTATCATTTACTATTTTCCAAGGCACATTAGCAGGAAGCCAGGTGGGAAGTGAAGCAACTAGGAACCAAACCCTCACTCTGATACAGAATGCTGGCATCACGAGCATTAGCTAAACTCACTGCCACAATAATGGCTTCTTTCTTGTTCTTTTTAAAAGATTTTTTTTTTTTTTGAAATTTTACTGAAAAGTCAGATATACAGAGGAGGAGAGACAGAGAGGAAGATCTCCTGTCCGATGATTCACTCTTCAAGTGACCACAACGCCCGGAGCTGCACTGATCTGAAGCCAGGAGCTACGAACTTCCTCCAGGTCTTCCATGTGGGTGCAGGATCCTAAGACTTTGGGCCTTCCTTGACTGCCTTCCCAGGCCACAAGCAGGGAACTGGATAGGAAGTGGGGCCACTGGGATTAGAACCGGTGCCAGCCTGGGATCCCAGTGCATTCAAGGCAAGGACTTTAGCTGTTAGACCACTGCACCAGGCTCTAAAACAATGGTTTCTAATAGTATTCTTTTCTAAAAAATCAGATCTGGGGGGGCCCGGCGCGGTGGCGCAGTGGTTAAGGTCCTCGCCTTGCACACCCGGGATCCCATATGGGCGCCGGTTCTATCCCGGCAGCCCCGCTTCCCTTCCAGTTCCCTGCCTGAGGCCCGGGAAGGCAGTCGAGGACGGCCCAAAGCTTTGGGACCCTGCACCCGCGTGGGAGACCCGGAATAGGCTCCTGGCTTTGGATTGGTATAGTATTGGCCGTTGTGCTCACTTGGGGAGTGAATCATCGGATGGAAGATCTTCCTCTCTGTCTCACCTCTCTGTATATCCGCCTTTCCAATAAAAAAAAAAAAATCAGATCTGATTTTTCATTATCATATAATCTGACAACTGAACCGTGAGGAGTATATCAACTTCAAATATGAAAAATAAATAATTAATTAGTCATATAAAGAAATTAACAATAGGCATTAATATCGAGGTCAAACAAGGTAGCCTGAGAGGCTGTTGTGCCAAGAAGACACTGCAGTTTAGTGATCAGTCCCAGGCTCCATGGGTGGAGATCCAGCTAGAATAAAAACTGAAAACTCAGGTTTTCTATAAAACCAGTTTTGCCCTCACTGTCTTTCTCACTATTGTATTTCCTCTTTCTTCCTGGGAGATCTCCTTCCACTCAAATAGCTCCAACTACTTAACAGCTGATCAATTCTAAGGTGCCACTTACTTGCTTCTCTCTTTCTGAATTCCATACACATCTTACCATTTCTCTTGGATATGCATTTCTAGATATCTTGAGGGAGTTTCAACTACATTACTAACCGATGTGCATCAAGCATGTATTATAAAAACGCTGGTCTTATTCCCTGTGAGAGGAATCACTGTGCAGCCAGCTTTGAAGCTGGAGGTTTTTTTTTTTTTAAGATTTATTTTTTATTGTTATTCGAAAGCGGATATTCAGAGAGAAGAGACAGAGGAAGATCTTCCGTCCGATGATTCACTCCCCAAGTGAGCGCAATGGCCGATGCTATGCCAGTCCGAAGCCAGGAGCCTCTTCCAGGTCTCCTGCGCAAGTGCAGGGTCCCAAAGCTTTGGGCCGTCCTCGACTGCTTTCCCAGGCCACATGCAGGGAGCTGGATGGGAAGCAGGGCTGCCAGGATTAGAGGACCTTAACCACTTGTGCCACCATGCCGGGCCCAAAGCTGGAGTTTAAGGACACCCTTCACAGCCTTCTCCTTCTACCTGCATGCTAGCAAGTCAGGCACAAAGTCATGCCCATTCTGTATCAGAGAAGTAATCCAAACCTGACTGCTCTCCATCCTCCCAAACCTGTGCAGATCTAAAAATCATTATCATTGTTATTATTTTTTACAGATTTATTTATTTTTACTAGAAAGTAAGATTTTACAGAGAGAAGGAAAGACAGGAAGATTTTTCCATCTGCTAGTTAGTTCACTCCCCAACTGGCTGCAATGGCCAGAGCTCATCTGATCTGAAGCAAGGAGCCAGGAGCTTCTTCTGGATTTCCCACATGGGTGCAGGGTCCCAAGGTTTCGGGCCATTGTCCACTGAACTCCCAGCCACAAGCAAAGAGCTGGAAGGGAAGAACGGAAGTGGAGCAGCCAGGACGTGAACTGGCAGCCATACGGGATCCCAGTGCATGCAAGGCAAGAATATACCCATTAGGCTATGGGACAGTGCCAGAAACAAACAAACAAACAAACAAAACAACCCCCCAACATTGTTATTATTTTTTTTCCCTGGAATTGCTGTGTCAATCACTTACATGCTCTTCCTCAACAAAAGCCTCCTTTTATTTCTCCACACTATCACCAGAAAAATTGAACAAAAAATAAACTAGGTTCTGTTCTTCCCCTTGCATATCTCTGCTGGATACACATTAAGGCTCTATCTTTTAACATGACATGCATAGTCTATTATAATTGAATTCCAATCTCTCCTTGGCCTCCTCATTTCCTTCCCTATTCCCTATGATCTACTGTTAATTACTTTCCTAACTGTTTTAATTCATGCTGTTCTCTCTCTTGGATGTATACACTTCCTTATCCTGTGTTTACCCTGCAAACAAGTAATAAATCTTCAAGATCCAGCTCACATGTTACCTCCTCTCTGCAATCTGTCCTAATGCCCCCTACCAACACACAACATGCTAGTTTTGCCTAGGAAATGTCACTGTAACCAGTTGGTTGTGGCTGAGTAAATCTCAGCCACCAGACTAGAAGGGGCAGAAACCAAAGCATTTTCACCTACCACACAGGGCGAATGAGTTCAATACTGCATTTCTCTGAGGCTATTTTTCTACTTACAGTTTCCTGGACACAAAAATCCAGAATTACAAAACACAAAATAACCAGGAAACTCCTAGGTGATTACTTATCGTAAAGTATTAACAGAAAGAAACCTAAACAAAAGGTAGCAGACTAGGTGACAAATTACAGTGACTAGCATTTGTGACTTCGGTTTCCTCTGTGTTGCCTGTTCACTAACATTCTTTTTTTTTTTTTTAAGGTTTATTTATTTTCATTGGAAAGTCAGATTTACAGACAAGGAGAGACAGAGAGAAAGATCTTCCACCCTCTGGTTTATTCCCCAAGTAGCTGCAATGGCCAGAGCTGAGCCAATCTGAAGTCAGGAGCCTGGAGCTTCTTTGGGGTTCTCCCACACAGGCACAGGGTCCCAAGCCTTTGGACCATCATCTTCTTTGAGGCCATCCTCAACTTCCCTCCCAGGCCACAAGCAGGGAGCTGGAAGGGAAGTGGAACAGCTGGGATACGAACCGGTGCCCATATGGGATCCTGGCACAAGCAAGGCGAGGACTTCAGCCACTCGGCTACTGTGCCAGGCCCACTAACGTTCTTTTACATACACATTTTCCTAATATTATCTCAAGATACTTAAATTTGCTGCACTGACAACAGAAAGCCACAGAATCATTCACAGTGGTGGTTGTTCAGTATCTTCTAGTAGCAATGAAAATTTAGCTAATGGGATAGCTCTGCATTTTCTCTGTGGGCAAGATGGAATCACATGTCTCTTTTCTTCATTTACTTTCAGTTATTGAAACAGGGAAGGGTTTCTTGGCATTTTACATGTCCTTCTCATAGACAAACATTGATGTTATTGAGCAATCTTTTTTTAAGATTTATGTATTTTTATTGAAAAGATAGATTTCACAGAGAGAAGGAGAGACAGAAAGATTTTGTTGTCAGTTCACTCCCCAAGTGGCTACAATGGCTGGAGCTGAGCTGATCCAAAGCCAGGAGCCAGGAGCTTCTTCCCAGTCTCCCATGCGGGTGCAGGGTACCAAGGCTTTGGGCCATCACCTCCCTTTTTCCCAGGCCACAAGCAGGAAGCTGGATGGGAAGTGGAGCACCTGGGACATGAACTAGCACTCATTTGGGATCCTGGTGCACACAAGGTGAGAATTTAGCTCCTGAGCCTTTGCACCAGGCCCTTGAGCAACCTTTCCAGAATCACATCTTCTTTAAGAAACTGAAAAGTATATTGTGTTTTCAGTTTTTTCAAAGAAAATACCACAAACACTATTAGTGTAACTTCATACTATTCGAGAGTATTTTACTCTCAAGTGATAATTTATGGAAGTATTTTATCATCAATGACTCTAGCAGGTCTCTTCCTGTCTTGCAAGTCTTAAGCATCCTACTCCTGTTTCCTGTTGCCCAGCGAAGTAGGAGAAACCAAGGAGGGCCATAATATTCCGACTAAGAATCCCTGTCTGTTACAAGATCTAATTCTTATCACAATTGGTTTGGTTAACTAATCCACCAAACTCTTGGCTTCAAAAACTTTTACAGCAAAAACAAAAACTTTGAGGTTGGCACTGTGGTGCAACAAGTTGAGTTTTTGCCTGTAATATTGGCATCCCATGTCATAGCTAGTTCAAGTCTTCTTGGTGGCTCCACTTTTGATGCACTCCTTGTTAAAAAACCTGGAAAGCCGCAGAAGATGGGTTCTGGCCACCCATGTAGGAGACTTGGATGGAGTTCCCGGTTCCCAGCTTCACCCTGGCCCATCTCTGACTTTGTGACCAATTAGGGAGTGAACTTCTGGAAGGGAGATTTCTCTGTCTGTTCCTTTCTCTCTGTAACTCAGTCTTTCAAACAAGTAAATCTTTGACCAACAACAGAAACAGAAAACTGATAAACCTGAACAATATCCAAGTCATTTTCTAAGTGTAAGTATCTCACCACTTAAAAAAGCAATGAAAAGAACTTGTACATAATTTCAACTGACCAAGCAATTTCTTAGTATTGGCCTGAGAAGGCTGCCCCATATCCAAGCTCATGGATTTCCTGGCTCGTGGACTGGTCTGCCCAACAGTTGGGTAGGTGGCTGTCAGATGCCCTTCAGAACCTTTGGGAGAAGACCATGGCTGATTCTCTTTCAGAGTCCTAAGAGATTTAAACAAATCAGAACTGGTTAACATGGTTATAAATGCAACCACTGTTTGTCCCTTCTAGGTGGCTGTCTTTTTTTCCCACTAATAATAGCTGATTTTAAAACAACACTTAATAGTTTTTGCAGTAAAAACTCAGTGTATTCATAGAAGTGAATACAATGGTGACTCTTGCCATTGTATTTTGTATCTAGTAGATACTCACCAGAGGTTGAACAGAATGTTGAACAGTTCTGCACTAGTGTTTAAAAATTATTTTTAAGTTGAAAAATAGAAAAAACTGTATATATTTATGCTGTGTAACATATTATGAAATATGCATACATTCTGGAATGGCTAAATCAAGCTAAGTACCATATGTATTATCTCATAAACTTATCATTTATTTGTGGTAAGCACAATGAAAATGTATCCCCTGAACAATTTTCAAGTACAGAATACATCTTCTATTAACTATAGCCACCATATAGTATAACAGACCTGGTGAATTCACTGTATTGCCTTTTAAATCAAGGAAAATCAAGTCAAAATAGGCCACTGTATTGGATTCAAAACCCAGAAAATCAGGAGCGGGTCTTTAACGTGGAAGATATGTAGCCTGTATCCCATAGTGGGTTACCTGGGATGGATATGTGGTTCAGCCTCCTGGCTCCAGTAGCCTGTTAATGCAGACCCTGGGAGACAGTGATGATGGCTAAGGTAACCGGGTTCCTGCCACCCATGTGGGTGCCCTGGACTGAGTTCCTGGCTCCCACCTTTGGCTCCAGGGCTGTCCTGATAATTGTGGATATTGATGGGTGAACCAAGAGATGGGAGCTCTCTATCTTTCCTTCTTGGTGAGAAATACAGAAATTGTTCAAATTAATACACTCTATATACAGAATACTACTTTTGTATGTTTAACACAATACCGAAAGATATGCCGGTTTAATCGAAAATATAAACATCTCCCAAATTATATAATTATACAGTTTCTCCAAGTTATAACAAAAAATATGCTACCTGAAATCATGTACAAGTTGACATAACTCGATTATTTTTATTCCAAATCTGTACTACAGAAAACTTTAAAAATTTCAGTGTGATGTGCATAAATATACAAATGTGCTGGTATATACATGTTCTTATAAATCTGTATGAAGCTTAGTTTCCATTATTAAGCACTTAATGTTGCTTATAGTTCACTATAGTTCATGTTAGTTTTTGGTTAAAAAATTTAATACTTTCAAGATCACATTCTTTATCATTGAGCAATTCTGTGGTTAACAGACGTCAGCTAATGTAAACATTAGTACCCTTAGACTAGAACAAGAAGGTGGTAACTTTCCTACTACTAACAGACATGCAATACTGTACATTTACAGAGTGCTGTGATTCATATTCTTCCTCAATCATCTCCACATTTCTTCTAAACAACTTACTGGATCACCCTGATATTTGGCTTCATTAGCATAGAAAGTTGAAATCCGATTATAGTTATACAACATGGGAGAGTAAGTCCACTTACCTGTAGCTGGGATCACCATGATGAATGGGGTATGTGTCCATAGGAACATTCTCCATTGAAATATCAGTAAAAAGAAGTGACTGTCTGTGTTTTAAGCTGAAACGACCTCGAACCTCCTCAGACACTGTGAGTAAAGCTAAATGGAAAGAGGGCAAATTTAACAAATAATGAGTTTGACTTCAAACAGGATATATTTCTCATAATCTAGAAAAGATAATACCTCTTAATAGTGCATATAAACAGCCCTAGACAGTGTGAGGTTTAAAGCTTAAGTCAGACTTGTTTACCTGGAAAGGCTTACATTGTATACAAACATGAGATACACCAGAGTTTTAATAAGTACCTTATATTTTTCAAGAGCTTTAATGTACATTTGATCTTTTTTTTTTTTTTTGCATTTCATTTTATGACATAGTTTCATAGGCTCTGAGGTTCCCCCAAACCCTCCCTGTGTCCTCCCTCCATGGTGGATTACTCCACCTTATTGCAATATTACAGTTCAAATCCAGTCTTGTTTCTTTCATTGCAAGCATGAATGTACATTTGATCTTAACATACACAGAGTACACAGGGGAGGCATTGATAAGCCCACTGAGGCATTACATGATTTGCTCAACATCACATGGTTCCAACAAAAAGTGTTGCTCACATTCAAGTTTGTGAAACCAAGAGTCAGTACTTTGCATGGAACAATTATATTCATTAAGTATACTGTATATCCCTGCTAAATGTTGCTGAGCAGAGAAACAAAAATCAGATAAAAGTCAACAGGAAAGATTTAATGGGATGGTGGGGATGATAAAATGGCATAAGGAATGAATACTGAAGATGCAGAAAGTCACTTGGAGAAGATGGCAATATGATTGGTTTAAAATAAGAATAAGGCTTGATCAGAAACTGAGACAGAGGGGACAGAAAAGGGAGGGTGGCTTAAAAACTCAGGACGCTATCCTGAGATGCTCAACTTCTGTGCCAGACAATAGTTACTTATTATAGTATTTTACACTAAAAATGCAAGGGGAATATTTCAGATTTTAGCACCATTTCTTTCATAAGGAAAACTGTTCAGGCAGAACTTTTAAAAATTTTGAACACCAGCAAAGGACTCAGACTATGAACTCTTTATCCTCTCAAAGCAGCCTGCGGAGGGTCTATAGATATTTGGAAATTCTTAGAAAAAAAAAATCTTAGAAATAGATGTTATAAGATTAACTAAATCTATTCCGTGTTTTTACCTGCTAAGTAAGCCACACTCTGAGTATTCACCTCAAATTTGTCACAGTTTCTGTGTTTGTTAACCAAAGTTAGTAGTGTATGCAAAATTCGGACTGTTCTTGCAACAATAGCAGGTGAAGGATGTCTGTAGCCTACAAGGGAAAAAGAAATTAAAACAAGTCAGTTATTTTGTGATTAGCAATTTTTCAAGAAAAATAATATGAGATAATTTCTGCCTGCCCAAAACAGCCACCTGGAAAGGTAAAACTCCCGTGTGGCTAATTAGTTACATGTAGGATTAAGTTAAAATGTGTAGAATACAATGAAGCTCCCTGAAACTCTAAGGTTCCCCAGGGAGAAGAAAATGAGGAAAGAAAATAATATTTTAGACCTTCCATCCCCTCTGGAGTGCAGGGATTTAGATGCAGACACACGCACATTCTCTTTCTTTCTCTGAGACTATGGTTCTATTTCTTTCTTGTTCTTTTTTTTTTTTCCCCCAAGATTTTTTTTTTTTTTCCATTGGAAGGTCAGATATAGAGAGGAAGAAAGACAGAGAGGAAGATTCTCCATGATTCACTCTCCAAGTGACCACAATGACCGGTGCTATGCTGATTTGGAGCCAGGAGCCAGGAACCTCCTTTAGGTCTCCCATGTGGGTGCGGGGTCCCAAGGCTTTGGGCTGTCCTCAATTGCTTTCCCAGGCCACAAGCAGGAAGCTGGATGGGAAGTGGAGCTGCCAGGACAGGAACCAGTGCCCATATGGGATCCCGGTATGTGGAAGGTGAGGACTTTAGCTGCTTGGCTACCACGCCGGGCCCTACAGTTCTGTTTCTTAAAATTCCTTTTATATGGGCCCGGTGCGGTGGCGCAGTGGTTAAGGTCCTCACCTTGCACGCCCGGGATCCCATATGGGCGCCGGTTCTATCCCAGAAGCCCCGCTTCCCTTCCAGCTCCCTGCCTGTGGCCCAGGAAAGCAGTCGAGGACGGCCCAAAGCTTTGGGACCCTGCACCCGCGTGGGAGACCCGGAAGAGGCTCCTGGCTTCGGATTGGCATAGTATCGGCGGTTGCGCTCACTTGGGGAGTGAATCATCGGACGGAAGATCTTCCTCTCTGTCTCTCCTCCTCTGTATATCCGCCTTTCCAATAAATTAAAAAAAAAAAAAGAAATCTAAAAAATGCCTTTTATAAAATTAAAACACTAATGACAAAGGGAGTATGTGTGTGTGTTCTAAGTGTCCAAAAAATAGGGTTAATCAGAGGATAAGTTTGACCTCCTACTAGCTTTTAAACACTAATGTTGCTCTATTTTAGAATAGGGGATTTCAATACTGAATATATTTGGTGTTCTTTCACAAACACAGAATAAGCAGATCACTCCCAGCTGCAACCCCTCCTCGTGGAATCCTGAACAGAGTGTAGCTGCTGTTGCATGTACAATCTCTATTCCCTTTACAGATTAAAACTCCTTTTTTTTTTTTTTTGGAAATTTCATTAGAAGGTGAAATTAAATGTATATGTTTCCAGTTGCAGGCATATACATATATACACCAGTTAAACTCTGGAGGGACAGGGCAGACCTTTAGCCTAGTGGTTAAGATGCTGATCTCCTGACTTCAGCTTCCTGCTTATGCGGACCCTAGGAGGTAGGGGTAATGGCTGAAGTAACTGGGTCTCTGCCACCTCGGTGAATGACCTGCACTGAGCTACTGGCTTCCAGCTTCGTTCTGTCAGGCCTAGTCACTACAGGCATTGGGAGAGTAAACCAGAAGATGGTAGTGCTCTGTCTCTCTTTGTCCCTAAAATAACTGAAGTATACAGATCTCCAGGCTTTCTCAAGCCCAAGAACAATGTAAATTAATACAAAGCTGTAGACTTAAGCCTTACTTTAACATCACTTTGTCAAAGACACACCACTACATGATGTCCCTGTTAGCCATGATCTCCTGCTATGACTGCCCCATTTTAATAAGCCAAAGCTACAAGCTATAGAGTCAGCAAGGGGATTAAGGCCAGGCTAAGAAGTGATCAAACTCTGAGGAACAACTGAAGATCACTGACTATATGCAACACAGAACTTTGGAAGAGTGAGGGTATGGTACCACAAAGGTGAGGCTCCATGGAGTTTAATAATGGTATTGATCCACTGAAAACAAAGTGAGCTGAAGAAAATATTTTCCAGGTATAAGTTCATCATATGAATTCAATGACTTATGTTCATATTTGCTAACCAGTAAGACACTTTAAGTACACTTACTAAGAGTATAGCAATTAAGTTGAATACTTATGCATTTCATAAGAATCAACTATTGCATTTTTAATGAAATCTGATATTTGCCATGGGAATTAGACTCTTAAAACATACACTGAATAAAATACAACTCATTGAGACATACAATTTGAATTAAAATAATTGAGCAAAATATTTCAGCTTCTTTCATAAAACAACTTATTTTAGTTACAAAAGCCGGGGCTGGGCCAGCCTGAAGCCAGGAATCCAAAGATGTGTCCAGGACTCCGACATGGGTATCAGAGACTCAAATACTTAAGCCATTTCTTGCTGCTTCCTGGGTGCTCAGTCGCAGGAAGCTGGGTCAGAAGAGGAGCCAAGACTCCAAACCAAACACTGCAAAAAACCCTGCAGCAAACAGCCTCCTAAAATATCCTGACACACACCTTTTAAGAGGTGTCCAACTAGTGCAAAGTTAAAGTTGGAGTTGAAATTGAGTCCAACAAAATGATCCATTTGTTTGCAGTGCCATTCCAGAGGATTCCGGATTGCCATAAATACTTCTTCGGGGCTCTAGAAAGACAACCAAAACAATGGTTAACGAGGTTCACACAGAATATTTTCAGGATCGCTTACTAGTTTTTGTGTTCAACATGATAAGAAATCCTTTCAACTGAGATAAATATTATTAGGTTTCTTAGAGAAAATCACTGAACATTTAAGGTAACAGAAATGAAATAGTATAAGAATGTTAGGCATTTAGACAAGATGGTGCAAGACGAAACTGCATTTACAAAGCAGTTTCTGCTTTCTGCTATCTTTAACAAACTTTATGAGCTCTAACTCCTAGCACCTTGGGAGACTTGGGAGTTAATAACAGAACCCCTACTAGGATTTTCTGGCTATCACAATGCCAAGGAAGACACTACTAAGAAACAAATACTTCATTTGCAAAAATTCTTAATAACACTTAATAGGTATGTATGACTCTGACTAACACTGTCCTGTGACAGCTTCAGAAAACAGAAAAGGAACTAGGAAAGGGGAGTTCTAGCCTCAAACCAAACATACAAATATGGTCAAGTTACTGAACTTCTGTATTATTTTCTATTGTGTAGAATGGAGGTCTGACTGATGAACTTGAAGATAATGTCTGTCCCTTCACTTCTGCGTACTCTTCCCAGACCATCAGTTGTTTGGGTCCACACTATGTTTTGCAGAATGAACAAATACTGCTCAGACCAAGCACTTCACAGTTAAGCCATACTATTGTTCTTTCTTTGTTTCTGTAACTGGGTTAATTTACTTTAGGCAAATATCTTATCATATAAATATATGGCTTATCTTCAAAAAGAATTCCTTTCTTTTATCCTAGATGCTGCCACTTTTTCTTCAAAAGTGAAAGAAAAATAATTTCATACTGTTTTAATTTCCTCCTGTATACTCTATGAGTCAAAATCCAATCTCAATGAAGCTTGATAAATGTTCAAAGGAGTGTCAAATGTTGAAAGTGAGATAAGACAAAAGGAAAAAAATCTAGCAAAATTAAACACCCCAAATTTTTCTTTAGTTTCTCTAGCTTCCTCACTGGCTACTAATGAAATAGATTTTTTCATTAAGTGGCATTATTCAATAAAAATAAGCTTTCTTTTAGATTATTCCTTCATTTGTGAGATAGTGGGGGTAGAGAATGTTAACTTTTACCTTAGGGTTCTGAAAATCAAAAATAATGCCTGGTATGGTAGCTGCTATGAACAATATTATTTTTCCTATTTTTATTAGTGTATCAGTGCTTTTTCTGCTATTTTTACATGAAAAAATGCATATTAAAACCTAGGTTTTAATGAATTGGTAAGGAACTATAGTCACAATAAGTCACATTATAAAAATTTACACTTCAGTCAGTTATGGATCTCTTCTGTCTTTAAAAGAACCATCATAATAAAGAGGGAGGGGGTGCTCAGTGTGACTCATCTGGAAGTCCCAGGGAGAGCCTGCTGACCTTGTCATTAAATATCCGGAGACTGTCCAAGGTGTGCAGGTTCTGCTCCAGGAGTGCTGTGCCTGCTGAATACAAGTTGACCTCATCAAGCTGCAGCACAGCCACAGCAACCCAAAAGAGGGCTTTGTGCAGGGGCGAGTCCTGGCAAAGGAGACACAGGCCTGGTGAGGAACATGGACCATGGAAGAACCTCGTACCTACATACTACGGCATAAAACAGACATGCTACTTTCACCAAATCACCCATGGTTTCCCCCCTGGAAAGGCAGTATGTGAGTAAGTCCTCTGTCTTTTGTAAGAGTGAAGAATAAGACTCAAGCAGCTAGGCACACAGCTTCAGCATTTCCTTTGCTCTTTTTCCTAAATCTAGTCAACAAGGTTTGCTAATTCTTCAAGAGAAGTCTAAAGTCTATTTTGCATTTGCTATTTCTTTAGGAATGCTAATGACACTTTCTCTTGCTGACCTTTACTCTTTTGCCTCCAGCGTTTCCTTACTGTCATTCAGGATGCACTATACCAGCAGAATGCATATCACTTGTCTGGCAGAAAATGCTATGCTTCCAACCTCTTTTTTTCTGAAGAACGGTGAGAATTATATCAGTCCTGTCCAATCTTTGCAACCTTCCCTTTCTCCCGTCATTGTCCACCATCTCCGCATCACCCCAGCATTCTCCTTGCTCTTATTTTCACTTTTGTTGTTTCATCTTTTTCTCTACCTGCATCAACTCCTACCCATTTCTGAAGTTTAAATTCTACCCTTTCAGGGTTTTGTTACTCTTAACAGTAATCTGTCAGTGTCTTAAATTTAAACTATTTATTATTGGTTAGTCCATGGATTTCAGAGCCAGTCAGCCTTGACTGAGAACCCCCGCCTGACCTTTCATCAGGCAGGTAACACCAGGGGCATGTTACCTGGATCTCCTCAGTCTATTCTGATTTATTATATGGGGATAAGAGAACCATTTCTAGTAATTTCAGGTTAGGATGTTTGCAGACCACAAAACTCTACCAGGAACATAAACTCTTCTAATATTTGTATCCCTTTGAATTCAACTCACAGAAATAATAAAGCTTCAGGGCTGGAAAGTAACCTTAAATGATATTATCTAGTCTTAGTTTACCCATTTTATCCATGTAGAAACATGATGTTCACAAACACCATTGCTAAATGAGCACAGACCATCCTAAAGCAGGGACAATGTTATTTCACTCCTAAACAACATGCTCACTTAGTATCCAAATGCTTCTGACAAACAGATATACTTCTCCCACCTTTCCATTTTTCCATGGTAAAAATCACTAATACATCACTACCTACACATGCACTTTCCCACTCCTGAACTTTCACATCCACTCTGGAATGTGTGCGCCTTAAAGGCAGGGAAAATTGGCGCTTTACTCAGTGCTAGTGTAAGTTTAGCCCTTAGGGTAGTCCCTGATGCATAGCACATGCTCAATTAAAACCTTTTACTAGAAGAATTAAGAATACAGCATCTATCTCTCCTTTAAGAATGAAAAAAGAAATCTGCAAGCACTTGAGAACACACTCTCTAAACTTAGTTGTTCCCCATGGTAATTACTTCAAACAACTAAATTTCAGACAAGAGGCTTATGGATGGCTTTCTGTTTTCCTTTTGGTTGCCATATGGCTTTTCTGTTATAATTTGTTCTCAATCCATCTTATTGTCTGAATTGCTGCCAGGAAAGAAAATTATACTTAACATCAGTACCCAAAATGCATAAACTCTTTTTCAGCTCAATAATTACCTTATTAAGAAGTGGCTGTAATTTGGTTAGTGCTATTACTGTGGCTTCTATCAGAACTTGACTGTTGTAAGTATCAGGTCCTTTCAAGCAACTCTCAAGTGCCTTTTAGGGAACAGAATTCTTTATTTTAGTTTCATTGAAATAAAACATTAATGCTTAAACTGAATCTCAGAATCACCTCAGGAACAGTTACGTATTTAATGCCAGAATTATTTCCAATACTATGGTGATCTTGGAAGCTTGCTCAACGCACACTGGAACATTTGTGTATTCTAATGTCATAAATCAAGTAATACCACAGAAACTACAAACTACATAACTTTATGTAAGGGTCTGGCCTTAGCACCATATAACTATATGCTTTAAAAACTGGTAAAATATTAAGGTTAATTGCTTAGAAAAAGAGGCAAAATACTTATTTTCTTCTAAAGACATATTCTTTAGAGAAGGTTTCTTAATTACAATAATAATCAAAATCCACGTCTTAAAGGTTGAATAAACAACAGAAGGCATTTTTTTCAAATCCAAATTTAAATATAATTTTAAAGAAAAGAGGATATGTTTTATTATTTAGAAAACACAAGTAATTGGGAGAAGGAAGGGAGAGGTACCTTGCTAAGAATACGGATAATCTGCTTTATCTGGCCATGAGATACTCGTTTGCTAATACAGCCAAAGACAACAAGAGCTCTTGGTTGCAGAGATGGATTATACTGGAATGCAAATCTGCAATGAAAAGATCCCAGAAGCTTAGGAAAAATCTATGCTTATACACACTAAATAATAAATTAAAATACTGATTATGTAGTAATTTTATGTTTCCAACAATTCGCACATTTTTCAATTTTCTGTTCACTGTGGAACCTACCTTTGTGCTAGTTCTGTCCACTGGTCCAGCCACTTGCAAGTTGGAATGTCTCTCATACATGCCTAAAAAAAGGATACTCTGAATATATGTGGGATCTTTGTTCATGGAGAATGAATACTATTTTTAAACTAGTTTTCCATGAATGCCTTGAAGATCCTATGTATGTACATAAATGTTTTAAAAAAACATTCATTGAAATATAAACAAATAAATGATAGTTATGTCATCAGTAATAAATTCCATGAAAGTATTTTTATTTAAGCATCAGATGCAGAAAATAAAAGCAGAATAAACCAATACTAACTACTAAAGCAGACACTTAGTTTTGTATCATTTTGCCTTAGATACCTCCATGATCTCTAACAAAGCTTCTGTGACTGTTTCCAAGGATGTCAAAGCAAACGTTTCCCTCTCGTAGGAGCCAGGAGAGAAGGACCTGTCCCGGTAGCTGGAACGGAAAGCAATGACTGCGGCTGACTTGACTTTGCTAATGCCAAACAGCAAGTAGAACTTGGGTAATGAGAATTCTGTCAGACTGAGTCTCAGAACTTGCTTAGTCTCTTCTGTAAAAGAAAGAAAAAATAAGTAAAAACTTAAGCTGCTAATTTTTAACTTCTAAACTACCATGCTTCATTTTGAGTACAGTAAATTTAAATATCATCTAAAAATTACATAATCATGCTCCTTAAATTGAATTTACCAGATATTCTAGATGTAATATACTCGATAGATATTCCCCATTGAACCAAAAATCAGTACCAGTAAAACTGTCTACTTAAACCACGTGACAGCTACAAAAGGCTACATGACAAACGGGCATTATGTTACAGTTTCATATGGAATGAGAGTAATGTAATTTTTTCCCATGTTAACATTTCACATCATTATTACAGGTTTAAATTAAATCTTGGTGCTAAGGCACCATCATTAATAATAATATAATCTACATTAATTGGGTGAAATAAAGTAGAGAATAGAACTGGTGAAACACAAAAAATCATCCAGAAACTCACCACTGAACTGAAGCTGTGAACACGTACACAGGGAGTGGATGATGTTGATGACCAATCCATGCGTGGAAGCTCTCAGTGAGAGGGGACCTGTGGCCACTAAGAAAGTTACAACGTGAAAAAGGTAGGGGAGATGAGCGGCTACGTCCAGGGAATTGTTGAAGGACAGCATGAGCATGTAACGCGCTAAGATAGCAATATCATCCCACATCAGATGTTGTTCCAAGGTAGGAGTAGGAGACAAGCATGTCTTATCAATTATTTTGCACATCCTCCCAATAACCTGTAAAGGTAAACAATTTACAAATACATGAGACCAATAGTCTTATCATTAACAAATTTTAATTTAACTTTAAAACAACTAGTTAAAAACATAATTAGAAAAACTTCCTGATCATGAGACAGATATGTTATGCCACAGCCCAAAAGGCACAAGAGTGATTACCTTGCTTGAAACCAACTTCACGTTTCCAGAGGCCAAAGCTACAGCAGTGTCTGCCATCACCTCAGCTTTGATGGATCCCAAGCCACCGGTTGCACTGGTTTTGATGAAGCTGTCTAGCACAACGTCAAGTAGATCTGTAATCTAGTGCAAGAGGGAATATGTCTTAACATTTTTAAAGATTTATACATTTTATGGGAATAAGTGCCAGAGAAGGGGGGGGAGGGGAGAGTGAGTTCTTGCCTATTTTGGTTCAAGACATCCTCTTGTTCACTCCCTAAATGACCACAAGGAAACTGGAAGCATGGAGCCCCATCTGGGCTTCCTAAAAAGGGGGTGGCAGCCTAAGTACCTAAGCTATCCTCTGCCACTTTCCCAGGTGCATTATCAGGGAGCTAGATCAGAAGCAGAGCTGAGTCCAGTGTGATGGCTCAGTGGCTAAATCTTCTCTTTGCATGTGCTGGGATTTCATAAGGGCTCGGGTTCATATCCCGGCTGCTCTATTTCCTATTCAGCTCCCTGCTGGTAGCCTGGGAAAGCAATAGAAGATGGCCAGAGACCTTGAGACACTACGTATGTGGGAGACCAGGAAGAAGCTCCTGGCTCCTGGCTTTGGATCAGCTTAGCACTGACCATTGTGGCCACGTGGGGAATGAACCTGTGGATGGAACATCTTTATGTATCTCCTTCTCTCTGAATATCTGCCTTTCCAATAAAAAAGATTATGAAGAAGCAGAGCAGCTAGGATGCAAATCATCATTCAAATATGGGATGACAGGGTTATGAGTGGTTACCTAATTTGGTGTACCACAATGCTGGCCCCTGACTTAGTTTTTAAATCCCTCCACCAGCATAATTTCCAATTTAAAAATATTCAATGAATAGCCTAACCAATTTAAAGTTTATATGAAGCCTTCAAAATGCATTTTACAAACACTTATTAGTGAACATATCAAAGAATATTAGAAAAAGGATGAGGATATTCACTCAGTTTCTGCAGAAATTAAGAAATCGATATTCAAAATTTGAAATCCTCTACATATTGTCTTCATGCACTTGGCACAGTATCTTTGTGCTCCTTTAAAATAGTGAGGCTTGACCAACATAAAATATATTTTTTTAAAATACAGGAAGTGATAGGATTTATTTAAATCATACTAAAAACTTTTCCATGGTTATAAAATCAGATCCAAAGTCACCTAAAATTATTTGGAGGGAGTAGGCTTCTGTTGTAGCTGTTAGGATGTCCACCAAGACACTGGAATACTAACTTCATTTTCTGACTCCCAAATCCAGTTTCCTGTAAGTGTTGGCCCTGGGTGGTATGGATTGCTTGATTTCTGCCATCCGTCTGGGACACTTGGACTGAGTTCCCAGTTCCGGGTTTGGTCCTGACTCAGCCCTAGTCACTGTGGGCTTTTGGAGAGTGAATCAGTGAGAATGGGAGCTCTTTCCTGTCTTTTTCCCTCTCAAATTTAAATAAATAAATAAGAGCATTGTTTGAGTAAAGGTATTACTTCCTTAAATCATTACTTTAAATAAATACATTAACTCTTGACCGATAAAAAAGTTAACATTACTTATAACATTGGCATTCTGTACTAGAACCACAAATGAAGGAAGGTGTTCCAAATAAGAATAATAAATATTTATGGAAATTCATGGTGTACTGAATACATTCCAAAGAACTACTTATTAGAAATCACACCAGAATTCTATAGTTAATATCTATTTAACCATCTAGGGAAGATAGTTCTAAAAAACTCATTTTCCTCTGCCTCTGGGACAGTAATCAAACATTTAAAATTGTGAGTCTAATGAAGAGCTGTGTGGATGTCCATATATTTTACAGCTGGGGATGATTTTTTTCCCCCACAGCTATATTGCTGTCACCTAGCACAGTTCTTTGCATAGACAGTGCCTCAGAAATATCTGTGGCACTACATAAATATGTGTCCAAATTCAATACCTGCCCAAGGCTCCCCCATATTTTTGCTTGAATAGATGGGTACATCTGCTTCTCATTTATGGTCATTGTGATTAGCTTATCGAGAATAGCAGTAACTCTTTGTCGCTTGGCATCATCGTTATGCTTGCAAAAACGAACTAGGTTGGAAAGCCATGGAGTCATATATTCCAAACAGAGGTGTTTCAATTCAATACCTGGAAAAAAAAATACTATTAGCATACATGGTCAAGGCAAATCATGTAACAATGATTTCAATATAAAGATTGGAGGGGAAGGGTATAGGGTGAAGACCATTACCTAGAATCAGGCCTGGAGAAAAGAGACTTGGCAAATATAGGTTTGATGACAGAGGTGAAGAGAGGAAGCCTTGAAGAGAATAATTTTAAAAGCCGTAAGCCAATTTTTAAAAAGTTTTAAAATTTTTCTCCCTTTTAATAATTTATATTCTAGTTAAAAAAATTTGTTTTACTCTCATTGCAAAAGGAATATGTGGTATTCATACACAGTTTGATAAAAGCATCAGCAAGCAGTCAACGTGATCAGCTCATTTCTCTCCAGGCTTTTAAGTTTAAGTGGAGGTAACACACTTCTGTGTGCCTGGATAAGTAAGTGTACCACATCTCATCTCACCAAAAATTTTACTATGTATCAAGTATGTTCTAGGAAGTCTCTCATTATTACACCAAGATTATATTAACATTCCCTCAAAGCACTTTAACTTTTTATTTTGGAAAAGTTCAAATTTATAAGAAGACACAAAAATAGCAAAATTCCCTTATACATTTCACCTAGTTCCAAAAATCACTTTTTAAAGTTGTGGTAAAACATATATAACAAAAAATCTATCACCTTAGTCGCTTTCAAGCATACAGTCCAATGGCATTAAGTACTTTCATACTGTTGTATAACCATCACCATTTTTTATCTCTGGAATATTTTCATTTTACACACTGAAACTCTTTACTGATAATATTTTTAATGGCCTCACAGGATTCTAACATAAGAAGATCTAGTATTTTAATCAGTTTATTTGTCTTGATTTTTTTTTTCTATCATAATTAAAGTTCAAACCAGGAAAAGTCAATCTATGGCAAGCAAGGACTTCACAGTGCTACTTGCAGAGAAGGGACAGCAGTGACAGAGGGACCCCTGTAGACACGGGCAATGCTCTGCACCCCAATCTGGACAATCCTCTCGTGATGTCTCCACACAGAAGAGCTCAACAGACTGCTTATTTACAAACTGGGCACTTCTGTGAGTACAAAATACATCCCAGTTAAAACTATGTTATCCTAACATTAATTTCTTAGGATAAATTCTAAAAAGGAAAATCATGAGACCTAAAATTACGAACATTTTTAAGGACGAACATTTCTCGGTGTCTGCTTCCAAACTGCTTTCTAGAAAAACTGTCCTAGCTGACAGCACTAACTTTTTGCGAGTCTCAAAGCTGAAAATATTACTTCACTATTCTCTCAATTGGTGATTCTTACTGGTAGGCTTAGAACAGCAAAAAAATTCTTTTTAGCGTGACTAATGCATAGATAATTCACATTTATATGTTACTCTTTTATTTCTCTATAACTTCATGATTAAGAATAACAATCTTCTTACAGTTTCTCCAAATGTATTTTCTGTTTTTGACTTATGTTTCACTTTTGACTTTAACACTTGAAAACTCTGTTCAAGAAAATCTGTTCACCACTTTCTTTGTCTCCTATTTTACTTCTTCTGTTTCATACTGTTCTTGCTCATCTAGAAATTAATTAAATATTTACCACTTTTTCTTCTTTTTTGAACTGTTCTAGATTTTATATTCAACCCTTTTTTCACCTTTATCAGATATTTACTGTATACCAATATGCTACACATACATTACTTCATCTGAGGTCAATGTTTACAATATACTGTCCACTGAGATAGTTATTAGTGTCTCTTTTTAGAGACAAGGAAAGTGAAATTTTGATGGATTTAGTAACTAGAGCAAAGTCACAGGATGATTAAGGAGAGTTGAAGTTTCAAAACAGATTTCTGAGTTCCTTTGCCCATTTTCTTAGTGACACCTCACCTACTATGTGTAAATTCTCTAATATACTGTGTGTCCTAGTTGGATATATTCAACTCTTAAATATAGCTAGACCTTATGTTGGTATTTACGTTACATGGTGAAGACAAAGATCTACCTTCACACATTTCCCAACTTCATTTCTTAAGTGATTTGCTCTTCCTCATCAATTTGTCATGTTTTATGCATCTACTTTGCATAAACTAATCTGATGCTTTTTGAACACCTTTGTTTTAATTATTGCATCATTATAAAATGTTCACACATCATTATACAATCTGATTCCTTTCAATATTTTCTTATAATTCTTAAAACTTATAATTAAAATTTAGGATCACTTTAAATTTTATCTCCATTCCCAATTTTCTGATTCCATGGCTATTACACTGAGCTGCAGCTATACTGAACTCTTCATGCAGGAATACAATATGCCTCAGGTTTTCATTTGTTAATATTTAGCAATAACGCTTTATACTTTCCTTGTTTTGTCAGTTTATGCACTTTTTGGTTAAGATTTCAACTTTTACATCTACTATCTCTTATTTAAACATAAAAGTAAGATACTAATGATCTCCTCTCGATGAATTATATAAAATCTCAGTTGTCTAATACAGAAAAACCAAGAAAGAAGAGTGCTGAAAAATAAAGGAGGAAGAGAAGGAAAGAAAATGTCAGGAAATAAGCTGGGAAATGATTAACACTCATATTACCTCAGAGCATGGTGGTGGGCAGATGTAATAAAGGAATGTTAAACTCATGAGGTAAATGAGACAAGCTAGGACTGACCCTGGACTTCATACTACGCCAGTTCACTTGCTCAATCATATCCTCCAAATAATAAAAAACTTCAAGTCAACCAGAAGAAAAGATATGTGACAATTTCCCTAAAATATGGAACAACATAGATGGTTCACTCATGTGGAATTTTCTGTTAAGAAGAGAAATGTTAAAACTAATTAAACAGAAACAGTGAAAGAAATACTTGTAATTAATCCAGAGATGGGTAAGGTACCTTGCCACCTTGCTTTTATTGCCAGAATTCTAGTATACTGCTCAATGTTGCCTACCAGAGGTTGCTTCAGAATTGCTTCAGCTGCTTAAAGGACACCAGAAACGAAAAATCAGAGAGGTAAAAAGTAAAAATATAGTAAACAAAAATTTTCACTGGAGAATTCTGAAATAAAAGGGTTTTCTTTGATTTTTCTTAAGATCATCGTTAGTATTAAAGAAAATTATCATTACTTACTAGATTTGCTAAATCCAGAAATACACTCTTCCAAAAATTCTAACGTGAGGTGTGGTTCATTGGCTGCCAGTGTCTTACTAATAGAGACAATAAAGAGGGTGTTGTTGGCAGGGATACATAAACCTGATGTCTCTAGTAACTGGCCCTCGATTTTTAAATTAAAGGTACAAGTTAAGGCACACAGAAGATTATAGGCAGCTGACCTAGGAGAAAACACAAATGAAGTTGTTTTAAAACTTATTTTTCCTTATAATTCCCCAACTTTTTCAAAACATACAGCTTATGATTTTATTGCAAAACCATGACCAGTTATTTTCAAATTTCAAAATCAAAGATAGAATGTTATGATTCTATAAGAGAATAAAACAAAAAATCCTTTGATTGTGTAAGAATTTTTAAAAAAATCCTTGATGAGGCTCCTGAGACAGGTGGCTCCAGGCCTTCCTATAGACATTTCATGAAGACATCAACTGTGACAGTAGGCCAATGCATGGGAAAGAAGTCAGAAGATGGCATATCATCGACACGGTCACTGCAGCCTCTGATCCCTCTCCATTCACATGGAGTCATTACAGGAACCGTAAGAAAAGAAAAAAACAGAATGGCCCCATGCCTTTAAAATATTAAAATATTTGGTCATCAGTATCTTCCTGGGCGTCCCACAAGTAACCCTACACAGCAGAGGTCAAAACCAGAATTAACTTATAATTATGCCTTCCCATTTTTATAATTTTTATAATTTCATTTCTACATATCAAACCACCACAAACAAAACACTGTAATATTCAAGTTCCATTAGATAACAAAATTCACTGGTAAATATCTGGAAATATGTTTAACCATCTAGGAGACAGTTAAAACATTACAGTCAATTCTGACATTTTTTTTTCTTTAACAAAAGAAACAGTTCATTTAGCATTTTTCCAGCTTTCCTTACCTCTGAACTTTGATCATGTTAATACATTTATTGAAGTCTGCCTAAAGCTGCTGTCCCTGAGGTGGGCCTCGAGGCTGGTAGTCAAGATGTCAGGTAAGACACATGACCCCACTGGAGGGCCTGGGGATGATTCCTGGCTCTGTCTCCTGACTCCAGCTTCTCAACAGCACAGATTCCTCGAGGTAGACATGATGGCCCAAAGAACTGGGTTCTTGCCACCACCACACTGGAGACTGGGACTAAGTTCCTGACAACTTTCTCTGGCTGTAGTCCAAATCCAATTGTTGTGGATATGTGAAAAGTAAGCCAGAAGATGGGATATCTATGTCTCATACACTTTTTTTTGTAATTTATTTAAAAATAAAATAAAATAAAAAAAACATTGACTTACTTCACTAGAATAGAGCAGGTGGGTTCATAGAAGCTAAGCATTTTTAGAAGTATTTTTGTATGAAGAAATTTGAATTAGAAATTAAAGACAGGCTTACAATTTTACTTTCCTAAAATGACAATATTGATATTACTAAGTTTATATGCTTTTTATTAACTCCTAGATACTCTCAAACAATGCTTTCTTGACAACAACTTTTATTACGTATTATCAACAGCTATAAAAATTGGTTTTCTTCATTTAAGACCGGTGTCTTAGAACCTTTGCGATTCTGACAGCCAAACAGTCCCAGTTCCTTGTGGACAGTTTATGAGAGTGTTTGAACTCTACAAGGCCCATCTAAGTAAAGAAATCTTGTTGATTTTTTTCTTTTTAACTAAAAGGAGAATTTAGAATGCTAAAAAGTCCAGTATTAAACTTAAACCCCAGGGAAGATTTTCTATGACTAAGAATTCATATCTGTAAAAATTCAAGGTTATTGAGACAGAATTATCCCAGTGTAAAAAGAAGGTGGAGGACCCCATATGGTAGCCTAGTGCTAAAGTCCTTGCCTCACATGTGCCAGGATCCCATATGGACACTGGTTTGTGTCCTGGCTATTTTATTTTCCATCCAGCTCCCTGCTTGTGGCATCGGAAAGCAGTGGAAGAAGAATCAAGCCTTGGGACCCTGCACCTGCGTGGGAGACCTGGTAGAAGTACCTGGCTCCTGGCTTTGGATTGGCTCAGCCTGGCCGTTGGGGCCACTTGGGGAGTGAACCAGTGGATGGAAGATCTTCTTCTTTCTCTCTATGCGTCTCTCTGTATATCTGCTTTCTCAATAAAAATAAATAAATATTTGAAAAAAATAAAAAAGGTAGAAAATAGGGAAGAGTACAAACAGACATTGCCAGGAGGGAAGAAGGGGAGGAGGAAACAAAAAAGTATCTGTTGAGTGCTTTGCTGATACACAACCTATTAAACCTTTGCAGGGTTATAAGGAAGGTATTGCTACTTTTGTTTTATAAATCAGGGAACAAGAGCTCAGAGAACTTCAGTTTCTCGGCCAGTGTCCTATATGTACAGAAAGTAACACATCTACATATAAACTAAACTGACTCCACCGACCACATGCATTCTGGTTTCTTGGTCCAATGATTAGTCCTTAACAAGACCAGTTACACTATGCTTAGATGACATCTGCATATGCTTCAGTATTTCAGGAATTCTATTTAAGTGATATAGGTGGAAAGTATACATTAACGTTATCGTATGAGTATTAATCATTAGACCTCCCCTTGACAAGCAATGATTATCTAATTTGACTGCCAGGAAGTCTAACAATGACATTTAAACATAGGAAAACTAGTTAAGATTTATAAAAGGAGAAAATTTATGAGTTGGCTTTAAAAAAAAAAACAAACTTTCTTTTTCCAAAAATCTACTGTTTGAAAAGTTTTTGGAGAAAAGGCCTGTGCTGGTTTAGAGTGAATCACCCTCATTCAGAATTCCACAGTTCATGTGAATACTCCACAATTTGATGAAGTCATGCTGGTTAACCAACATAGCATGCTTCCTAATTTACAGCATTAAGGAGAGACTGTCTTATAGGCTGATTGAGTGGTCTCATTTTAGAAGCAAAAGACAATGGATTAAGTTTAAGTAGATATTAAAACAAATAAACAAAACAAACCTACCGTAAACTAGGGTCTGAACTGCCTAAATTCAGCAATGCAATATTAAGCAGTGTCCCAGGGACATCTTTTGGTCGGATCTTGGTGTGCTGGGGAATGGAGTCAGGCTGTGAGAGCTCCCAGCGAGTCCGGATATGAATGATAGACTGGACGATGGCTTCACACTCCTGGTGCATGAAGGTGAGTGGTGTGCCCTGGTTTGCAATGGTTAAGGTGAACTGGTTCTCATCCACTAGGCAGATCTCTTCAATTTCCGAGGCATAATAGATATCATTCAGAAAGACCGACTGACCTAGGACTTTTGTTCTCTCAGCTGATGTTACTTGAACAGCAGTAGAACCAACCTGGAAAGTGGTGAGGGGTGAAGTGCAGAAGATTAAATTTCATTAAGTAGCATTTTTAGAGGCTCCAAAAACCGATCAACAAACCAACCAACCAACACCAACATTTGCTGTATTAGGAATTGCTATCACTCCAAATGGTTTCAAGCATTATTGTGATAAAGGTCCCCCAAAGACACAGAAAACATTTAACTTTGCTTTTAAAAAAGTCAAGAATCTGATACAATAGTACTTATTTTATTCTCAAGGTTCATGTTCCTCATTCTGTAAAAAAAAAAAAAGCACGTAATATCAGAAGAATTTCCAACTAGGTGATTTCCCGTCTCCACAGAGCCCTACTGTTTGATTAATGAAAAAACTACCTGCCCTTTTCACAACACATTGACTACAATCCAACCTAGCACAGAATGAAATATAAATTTTTCACAGATTCCCTAGGAAGAGGAAAACCTTGGTCTTTGATAAAGACAACTATGAGGACACTGAGGGGCCCTGGACATGGTCTGGTTAGACAGGAGAGGCAGTTAACAAGAAGACAAGGACCACAATGTACCTTAATAGAAACTTTGGTGTCTTTGTGGGCCAGCTTGAGAGCATTGTGGAATACCTTGAGGTCCTCTTCTAAAGCCAAGGTGGCAGCAGGTAGTTTCTGCTGTTCATGCTCTATGTGCTCAGCCAGCTTTCCAGGACAATCTATGAAGATGAGTCTCTTACTACCTTTGAGCCCAGTGAGCAGCCGCTCGTGATACTTGGTGTACTCCCTGACCCAGGAGTTGCAGTTATAGACATAGACCGCAGAGACATTGTCATAAGCAAAGCCAGGAAAGACAACGAACCACTTGGAGAGAAAGTCTGTTTTAAAACGATTGCTGGGTCCAGTATGCGTAAGGTCCACTACAATTTCATATGGCTTTGCATAATATGGCTTTAACGTCAGCAAGACGTGGTATATGAGCAAATCACCATTGATTTGGCCAGTTTTGAACCTAAGGAAGACAACAAAAATAACATATGGTAACAGTTCTGATTAAATATAGATTTTACTAATCTACTTTATAATTAATCTATTAGAAAGAATAATATAAAACAATTATTCAAAGTCTGGACTCAGTTCTCAATTTTTCTGCAGCCATGGAGAAATAAGGTTAAAGTAAAAGGGGAAGAAAAAAAAGACAGTGTAAAAATCTTGCATGATATCACAATAAAACCTCTGTCCAACAGTCAAGAAAGGAGGAAGGCAGTGGGCACTGCACTGCTGGTTGTCTCCAGGTCTGTCAATTTCACAGAAACAGCATGGGTAGGACTGACCTATCTGGAGCCCTGTAATGACTCCAGCCATTCTATCTGTCCCATCTTAAATACAGATTGTTTCAGCAATGAATACATGAGTAAAATCAGTATAACTAGGATAAACAGGCCCAATACAGCTAAAATGGCTAAAATTTGAAAATTTTGCTTTCCTTGAATTTATATACCCAATTTTCGGAGTTGTTACCTCAGATTTTGGGCTACAAAGGAAAAGCCTGCCCAAAAATCAAAGAGAGAGCTGAGAAATGAAGAGAGAAACTGGGGTCCTGGTCATAGAACATGAGTCTGGACAAAGTCTCCCCTCAGATCAAGTTTATCCTTATACTATTAACTTTTGTAAGTTAATAAATGCCATGTTTGGATTCAGCTATACTATTAGGTCATATGCTGCTTAAAATTGAAGCAATGCTAATCAGTATAAACAGTCATACTGAAGTCCACTGTAGAACTCTGAAGAACATGGTATAAGAACTGATTTGAGAGAGAGAGGAGAAAGAGGAAAAGAGAGAATATTTTCCATCCACTGTTTCACTTCTCTAGCAAGGAACTCCATCCTGATCATCCACCTGGGGAGGGGGCCCACTACATGCAGAGTGAGCATGTACACACTGCACCACGCTGGGGGTTCTGTTCCATACATTTACTAGATCCTTCCTCACACCACTGCAGTTCCATAGTTTAAAACATCAGTAGTTAGGTGTATCCCTCTATTAGCTGACCAATAACCCAAGGACTCCAAATCACATTTTAAAATGAGTCTGCAAGGTGCAAATAAAATTTGTGGAGAGGATTTTCATGCTTCAAGGAAGGTGACATTTTACTGCTTTTGAGCAAAATCAATATATTATCTAAAAAACCTATGGCGGGCATCAGGATGAGCACTAAGTCAAAAAGCAGTAAGTAGAAACCCTCCCAGCTCTGGAGGCGGGGATCTGTTCAACAAAGCTCCCAGTCATGCCAGAGGCCAACTAGTCTAGTTGGGAGTTTTTTTTTCTTTTTCTTTTTTTTCTGTGACATGTGCTTTAGTTGCAGGGGAAAGGAAATGTGTCATCTGTGGTTTGGTTTTAAAAGTGGAAAGCTAGCTGAACATATCCTTTTCTCACTGCAGATTAAGGATTTATATTCTTCAAGTCCATTCTGTTTTAAACGAGAAAAGAAGAAGAGAAGTCGTTTGCTAAAATTACGTTTTAATCAGACTTTGACCAAGCACTTTGTAAGGTACGTCATACATACAGTTTTTCTTATGCCTTTTCACTTCTAACTTTGTACGATTAGTATTCAAGGAAGTGCTTTTGGAGTGTGTAAGAATCTCACTAACAAAGCAGATTCGTGAGTGACTGAAAATGTATGCTGTTATTTTTGTCTGTCTTATTACGTAAAATTTAAGTTAGAAAGCAAAGACCACTAAACATGGAATTTTAAATTAGCAAAATGATGGATTAGAGTTTGGATGCCACAAGTAAACTGAGAAGCTTATTACAAACTAGTTATAGAATAAATTCATTGCTAACGCTTACATATTATAAATTTACTAGAAATAAAAAAATTGTCACAATCTGGTATCGATGGCATGAATTAAACATAGACAGAGTCATTAATTCTCAGGCATTTACAGGGCTAAGGGAAAAATCTCATTTTGTCCATAGTTGTTTATTTGGGCGTGGCGGTCCATCTGGCTAAAGACAATCAACAGCGGGCCTATTATCTGTGCTGAGGTCGGCACTGTCAGAAAATGTACGAGCACGAAGATGTGTACTACACAGCAAAGGAACTCATGTGACAAGAATAACCCAGCTCACCACCCAAAACACAATTCCAGTTAGGAAGGGAAAATTATTTTAATCAAAGAATCATGAAATACTGACAGACTTACGCCACTCAACTTAAAAATCAAAGCTGAACATTATAATACAAAAGTTGGTGTACTGCATATTCAACTGTGTGTTTAAGGTTACCATCCAAAAAGTAATCTCATCCCTAGAACATTTAATAAAGGCGTTTTCCTGCCTACTATCATAGGGATAATATGAAATGTGAATATGAAATAGTTTTAAAGGTTTGTTTCCAATCAGCTCTGTCCATTATGCACTGCTTTTGTCTATATAACTCAACATATCACATTTATATTCAACTTCTGTGTTTCAACACAGGCAATATCAGGTGACATTAAAAAACTCCTCCTTACCAAGGTTTGATCTCTAAAGTATGCCTGGCACTGGCATCTGTGTTACTGGAATATGGGTTAGAAAGATGAGTTGTTGGGCATATTCCAGAACTGTGGGGCTGGAGTCCACACCTAAACTAAGAGATGCTTACGCACATTCAGGTTTGAGGTCAGCTAAATGTTTTTGATGTGAAGTTCCCTCAAATAAATGCTAACAACAAAACTCTCTTCACGCATTATTATAGGAGAGAGAGTTCAATAACGGTGGTAAATTCTCCTTGTTATGTCAGAGGTAACTAGAACATAAATACTGGTTCTACTGAAAATGTTGTCCAACAGTAGACAATAAGAATTAAGAGGAGAACTTGCCTCCTTGTTATATTGGCTTCTAGGAAGCTCAGAGCCCCAAATGAATCCCAACTTTTTCAACTACATATGAAGATATTTACTATCTGCCACTTCTAACACCTCAAGATCCTGATGTTTTCTTCCTATTTTGTTGCATAATTTGCTTTGTGGAATCATACATAAATATCAGAAAAAAGTTATACAGAAACAATAACTTAAAAAAGCCATTAGTTTTCTGAACTTACTAGATTTAGAAGAAATCTGCTTCTTTTTCTCTGCTGTGCCAGATTTTAAGGTCAAGAGAACAAGTAAGGCTTCCCTTTCAGAAAAATCATAGTGAATGAGGAGAAACAGGCAAAAGGAAGGAATTAGCACCATATACTAATTTCATAAATATCATCTCTAAGGATGTTGCATCCTAAGCTTCAAAATTAACACTAAAAAAAAAAAAAGAACATCTTGAATTCCTATTTGAAGTTCATTTTCTTTTGGCTGCTATGAAAATTCACCGCTTCCCACTAAAAAGAAATAAACCAAAAATCCTACTTGCATTTTCTTTTCATATATGAAACAAAACTCTCAAGAGCACATTTCTTTTTTACCCTAAAGAGTCATGACTTGTTAGCTGGAGGGTGAGTAGTTCTGCAAAATTAATCCTTATTTTTTTTTTCTTAAAAAGAGGAATAAAGAAGTAAAAGCAGAAGTTGCCAGCTCAAAGCTGAAGTCTGCAGCACACTTAAAGTGGAGAAATTTGAAGAGCCAAGTTATTCAGTTTAAAATGATTACTAGTTATTTGTAATGATAATTTCTAACATCTAAAAATATAACACAATAAAAATGCTTCTCTATACATAGTCTAAGAATACAAACAAAAAAGGCTCAGGGGAGAAGGCACTCAGTAGTAAATGTTAGAACTCAACTGTCTTCTGGAAATCATGATCAAAACTTAAAGTAACAAATTATATTGTTCCCCCAACAGATTACCAATATACTCATGGACATGGGCCACACGGGAGCACATTACCTGCATCTTGCCTTCCTAATGACAACAGTGTGCTCTTTGCTTCCTGGTACAAAAACAAACCACACCCATGTTTGGGCTAATGCTACTGTCTGGGATTCTGTTACTCCAAACAGGGACAGAAACCACCATGAAAACATCAGCACAAGCCCTGTAACACCTGAAGAAAATTACAAAGAAAATTCTACAAATATACCTGCACCAGCAACATCATCTCACAATGCATCTTTTACCCCTAAATCTGAACCGAAGCTCTATGTCACTATTGTCAGGACCAAGCCAACAACACAGAGCACTGAAAACACAAGCAAAAATCACAGCGAAATTGTCAAAAAGGATGTCTGTGAGGAAAACAACAACATGGCTGTGTTGATTTGCTTAATTATAATTGCAGTGCTTTTTCTTATCTGTACCCTTCTATTTCTGTCAACTGTGGTTCTGGCAAACAAAGTCTCATCTCTTAGACGATCAAAACAAGCAGGCAAGCGTCAGCCTAGAAGCAATGGTGATTTTCTGGCAAGCAGTGGCCTATGGCCTGCTGATTCAGACACTTGGAAAAGAGCAAAACAGGTCGCAGGGCCCAACCTAATGATGCAATCTACTGGAATGCTCGCAGCTACAATGGAAAGGAAAGATGAAGGGACTGAAAAACTTACTAACAGATGTTTCAGTGATGAAAGACATAGCTTAGCAATGAAAAGGGCTATGGAGCAAAAATGAAAGTAATTTGGCATTTAAAGCTGCTGGTCTATGATCTTACATTGGACACAGAATTTAGCTTCAGATAGGTATAAAAAAGGAGACCTGTATCTGCTTATTTAATTTCTCCAACTGTGTATTTCTGTTTAACACTGAATATTTTAAAAAGCAAAACAAGCAAGGATTTGTGGGGCAGATTTTAAAAGATTTTATAAGAAAATAAAAATAGCAAAAGGGTAACAACATGAATATTCCCTATTCAACAATGGTACTTAAGTGATCATTATCTGAAAAGAATCAGAGCTTTAGCATATCCTTAGAGCCAAGCTTATGCTTCAATATTTAACAGAAATTACATTTCTACCGCACAGCTATACACTGTAATGGTACCTCTTGGTTGCACATGGCAGAATGCATACCAGTTCATCTATCAACACAGCTATTCTCAGGCAACATGCTTTCATCTTTACATTTGGTACACATTTATTTTTCACTACAGGTACTAAATATTAATAGTTTAATTTTGTACAATAAATTAAAACTCAGATTGAAACTGTGACCATGTATATCTGCATCTGCTTTACTATCTCAGAAAGATGTTATAAAGACCAGGGAGAAATGAAGTACAACTGAAACAGCACTCACTCCTGCCAGCGCCGAAAGCTCACTGTTACAAGTAGACATGAATGTCGAAGATTAACCACAATGTGCTTACTGGCACACTCACAAGCATTCAAAGCTGATTCATGATTGGATTTCATGGATGCCAAGTGGCCTAGTTACTTGTCAATTTTATTTTTTCCCATCCAATGTGACATGAGCAAAGGAAAGGGGTGTGTGCATGCACATTTGTGTGCATTTTTGTTAAAAGTCTAGAAAACAGGACATTCCAAATAATTCTTTGCCTTTAAAAAAAATTCAGCTTCAAGCAAAATAATGACTTTCATTTAAATTAAAACCTTCATCCTCAATTACATATATTGCAATTTTAGTATATATGCTGCCAAAGTGAGCACCTCAATTACATATATTTCAAAAACTGGTTTGGGAGGCTTTCTAAATAGCTAATGGAAGTGAAAGAGAGCATATTAATAAAGGCCAGGCTACATTTCAAAAAGTCTCATCTCTTTTTTTTTTTGAAAGATTTATTTTTATTATTTTTTCATTGGAAAGGCGGATATACAGAGAGGAGAGACAGAGAGGAAGATCTTCCATCCGATGATTCACTCCCCAAGTGAGCGCAACGGGCCGATACTATGCCGATCCGAAGCCAGGAGCCTCTAGCGGGTCTCCCACGCGGGCGCAGGTTCCCAAAGCTTTGGGCTGTCCTCGACTGCCTTCCCAGGCCACAAGCAGGGAGCTGGAAGGGAAGCGGGGCTGCCGGGATTAGAACCGGCGCCCATATGGGATCCCGGGCGTGCAAGGCGAGGACCTTTAACCACTTGCGCCACCGCGCCGGGCCCAAAAAAAAGTCTCATCTCTTATTGACATTTGTTTCGGTATTACATAAAAAAAAGATTTTAGGGGTAGGTGTAAAGCTTGGCAGTTTTGGTGCTGGCTAAAATGTCTGTCTTATATCACAGAAACTGGGTTCATTTCTAGGTTCCTGACTCCAGCTCCATGCCATGCTTAATTCCCACTCTCCCCACTGTGAGCACCTAGGAAATAAACCAGCAGATGGGAGCTCTTTCTGTTTGCCTTTCAAAAAAACTAAAAAGTGGGAAAATGGAAATGAAGGACAAGTTTATTTTTTAAAAAGGAGAAAAGATTTCACACACTCCCACATCTGACTCAGTAGGGATAGGGTGAGTCCCTACTCCTGGTTTCAATCTTCTGCTGGGCTAAGGAGGCCAACCTTGGCCACATGGGCTTTTGGGAGAGTAAACCAGCAGACAGGATATGTGTGTGTGTGTGTGTGTGTGTGTGTGTGTGTGTGTGTGTGTGTGTGTGTGTGTGTGTGTGTGTGTGAAGAATTAATTTTTTGTAGAAAAAAAATGGAAATAAAAATGATAAATTTACTTTTAAACTTAAAGTATCCCCCACACCCCCACAAGGCCAGTGACTCTCATCCTAGCTACATGGCAGAATCACCTGTCAAAAATATCAATGCTCAATTTCCACAGCTTCCATCTGACTCAACTGGAATAAGGTTAGCTTCAGGTACTGGCAATTATTATGCAACTTGCTAAATGACATTGATTTTGTTCATAAAACCCATTTCTTACAAGTACCATGGCTCCAAACAGCTAGGCTATATCTCAAATTGAGAGGCAAAAGTATTAGTATTATACCCAAGTTATTACCAATTTGAAAATCAACCCATTGCAAGTAAAGCTAAACAAAGTGAAAAAGAAAGCATGGGACTATCATGCCAATCACGGGGACATCAGGTTATCATTTAAGGGTGAAATGGCACAGATTAGAAGCAGAAATGGGCAAAGTTCTCTCTCTGAAAATTAAGGTTTTTAGACTACATATCAGAGTATAGTGCTAACACAAAGCCCTCTCTTAAACCAAGTGCCAGAGATTCTTGTCAGAAGAAATGAAAATAAAATAGCATCTTTGTGAAAATAATAAATCAAGCAGGAAACTACTTTCTTCTTCAACATTGTTGGTCAAATCAACAGAAAGCTATTATGCACTTCAAGAATATTTGAAAGTCATTACACACTCCAGGCTACTCAGCACCGAACCTCAGCAAGATATTATCCAACAGCAGTCCAGGCACTTAGAATAGTGCTTACTTTGCAAACTTGGTAGGAAAGAAGGCTTTACATTTCAAACTTACACACTAGTTATTAACAAAAACATAGCTACCTCTGCGCATTATGGTTCACTACTTAATTATGAACTTAAAATGTACAGGGATTGGTGCTGTGGTTAAAGAATAGAGGTTAAATAAAGTTGGTGCCAGCATAACTGGCATCATGTGCGGGTACTGGTTTGAATGCTGGCTGCTCCACTTTGGGTCCAGCTCCCTGCTTATGTGCCTGGGGAAGCGAGGGAAGATGGTTCAAGTACTTGGCCACAGTACCCACATGGCGAATCTGGAAGAGGCTCCTGGCTCCAGCTGTTGTAGCCATTTGGGGAGGAAACCACCAGACAGAATAACTACTTTCTCTTCATCTCTCCCTCTTTGTCTCTACAACTCGATCTTCCAAATAAAGAAATAAAACTGTCTTTTTAAAGCTACATATAGCATTTTGATTTTACTCTGCCATTTTTTTTGGTACTCAGTTATAGGGACCATGAAATCTGTGCTTCTATGCTGGGACCAGTGGCAACAGCATATAGATTTATCAGACCTACTATCACAGCATCAGCTAAGGCATTTGGCATTTATTTCATCTGATAATAAATTTATAAATTAGGAATTATGAAAGATGTTGGAAGGGGATTTGGTCAAAGAAATTTATGTTCACATGGACTCTTTATAATAAGTATACATTATTTAAAAAATGATTTCCAATTTTTAAAATTTTCCCCTAAGAAGTATCTATTTGAACTAAAAAAAAAAAAACCGTTAAGCATTTGATCCAAATACTTTCTTATATTTTGAAAAAAATAGTAATTTCTATTTGAAAGGCAGATTACAGAGCAAGGAGAGAGAGAGAGAGAGAGAGAGAAATCATTTATTCACTGGTTTACTCCCCAAATGGTCACAGCACCTGAAGCTGGGATTGTTTGAAATCGGAAGCCTAGAATTTCTTCTTGTACTCCTATTTGGGTTCATGGGCCCAAGAACTTAGCCATCCTTTGCTGCCTTCCAGCATACCAGCAGAGAGCTGAAGCAGAAATACAGGAGCTAGAACCTGAACGGGCACCCATGAGGGATGCCAGCACTGCACATGAAACCTTAACCTACTATAGTACTGTGCCAACTCAAATTTCATTACACTGTTAGCTGGGGTTTCCTATATTTCAAATGGGGAAATTACATTAACATTTGCTGGTTACTTAAAAGCATTTATTCTTGTTATGTTGTTTAATCCTTATAATGGTCCAATAAGGGAAACATTCCTTCTAAAGAGGAACTGGTAACTCAGAGGGATAGTGACAGACACAACATTCACTCCTTGCAGAAAGAAATCTCACTTTGGGAACAAGCCAACCAGTGGCGTTCCCTTAGACCACATAATTTTCTCCTTGGGACTTTATTCTAAATATTTAAAAGACTTAAATACATTATTAGAGAGTTTTAAATGTCTATTTATAAACATTCATCAACAGCACTCAAGTCCAAAGCTCCAATTTGTGTGTCAAAGTAAGTTCCGTTAAAGCAATACTTTTCTTAGTCATTTTGTGGCTTTTTGCACTTCCGGAATCAGCTATTGATAAACTTCCTCTTTTTCTACGGAAACCAGTTTAGTTTGCTGGAGGGCCATTTTTAATCTGAAGTGAACCACCCCTTTTGCTTTCTTAGCCAAATCATCAAAATGTCCAGCTAGATCAAGAATTTAGCATCCTGCAAAAGAAGTTAACAGCTGAGGTAAGAAAAATTTCAGACAAGTAATTTGGTTCGATATTTGCTTTATATAAAATTTGCTTTAAAAACTAAAAAGCCGTTGGTGTCCTAAATTTAACTTCATTCAAGGTTGAGAGCCTACAGATGTCTCTAACAGATTTTTCTCATTTTATTATATGGGATTAAAAAATTCAGTATTTAGCTTGCCTTCAAGATTTTGTTTGCGCAATATATGTCCTTTTAAACTTATTCAGTCATGTTTGTTAACCTTAGTCTTATACCAAAAAAAAAAAAAAAAGAAAAAAACCAAAACCAAAAAATTATAGCGCTGGTAAAATCAGAAATAAAATTTGATTCCATAGGTAACCTTCATAATACTGATATTTGCTTTTCATAAATTTTCTCTCTATATAGTATAATCCATAGGTAAGTTGTTTTTATTTTGATTTCCTTCTACATTCCATAATCACCTTTCTTAGATATCTTTACCTCCATTTTAAAGAAATGAAATGTGATATCCAATGATTATGTTTTATTTTTACAGAGAATTTTATATTTAATGATTGTGTAAAAATGTTGTAACATTTTACAAGTTCACTAAGGGAAGAAAGTTATATGTAGGCATGCATTCACATTATCTACATATTTACATCACACATTGTTTTAAAAGATTTATTTAAGGCAGATGACTGACACACAGAGAACATGTACTCCCATCTACTGGCTCGTTCCCAAATGTCCACAGGAGAGACAGACCAGACCAGGGCCAGAGACAGGAGCGGGAAACTCAATCCAGCATTCCCCATGGTGGGCTGTAATGTCAATGAATAAATTCACAGTGAATGATTTCCAATTTCAATACTTCAAAATAGTTGTAATTTTTTTCTTATATAAGCCCATTATGGATTTTTTCTAGTTATTACAGAAGTTTCAAAATAATTTCTTTTTGATAAGATATGTCTGTACATTTTTAAAAAGTCTTTAAGCTTAAAGTTTAAGTGTCTATGTTTTCAACTGCTTGTCAGATAATTCTACTTAAACTGATCAAATCTGAGTAAGTTTGAAAATATTAAACACAAATAACGCCTTTCAATATACAATCTTCTAAAATCATCACAAATTTTCAATAAATTTATTAAATATGGTATCTTACAAATGAATCATTCAAATTTCCCACAACTGTTTTCAAAGAAGCAC